GTAATGACAGTAAACTCATTGTTTAAATAAAGTCTCGCATTTAATGCCTGTTTGCGATTAAAAAAAAAAAAAAAAAAGAATTTGTCAATAATTGTTTATGTCAGTAATCGACATGATATTTTTTTTTTTCTTCCCTTTATTTCTTTATAGCTGTTATTGTTTTTTTGACTAAATTTTGTAATAGTTCACAAGTTACACCCTCTATTGGCAAGACTGTAGTACCATGCAATTCATTTCTGGCCAATAGTAAAGAGTATTTCCTAAAAAAATATTAAAAATTTAAATTAGCAATACTTTAAATTTTTAAAAATTTAACCTTTTTTTTAAAAATACCAGTCATTTCTACTTTAATTTCCTATTTGGCTAGATAAAAATTGCCATCATCGAAATCTCCTTCTTGACAATCAAATTTACTACTATTGGCAGGTCATATTTCTCTCAAACAGGTTGCTGCAATCGCATGTTCTAAAAAATTAGTATCAGTATATATAAACTTACTATATCTCCAGATTACATAGGTCATACAAAGACCTAAAGAATAGTTTAAAAAAATTTTTTTGCCATTGCAAGAAATCATAATTCCTTTATCAACAGCACTATACTAGTTGCCATCCAATCGGGGAAGATCAAATTCTTCGATTTTTTTTTGGATACTTGAAGTCATATTCTTGGAAATATATACATGGCATAGTTAAAAAGAAAGCTGTTCATTGCTACAATATTTTTTTCTTGCAAATATTGTCTTTCAGATCCTTACAATTTAACAGGTATATTGTGGACATGTGTAAAAATTCCACTTTCTCTTGTCAAAAGGTACCTGCAGATATTTACATATTAATAAAATTTAAAAAATCGAAAAAAAAATTATTTAATACAACATACCTTGCTACTGTTAAAGCATTTTGGTTCAGTTTTTTTATTTCAAATAATCAGACAACTTGTCATTATAAAACAAACATATCAGAAATTGTGTTTTTCATAAGTTCAATTATATCAGAGCCAATTTGGTTTCAGTATACAGCAAGTATTACTTTGTTTGAGGTCTTGTCACAAACTATTATTTCTTCATTTTTTTTTATCATCCTTATAATACAGGAGACAGTATCGATTGCAGGTATATGGAGAGACAGGAGATTTTGTTTCTCATAAACCCACTTTTCTTTTATTTTTTTTTCATTGTAATCAGAAACAGAATCCAAAAATATAGTTTTTATAGAATTTACTTTGTCAAAATATTTTTGAGTTAAAAGATTTTCTCTAACTTGCAATATAATATAAATAAATTAATACTGGTTTTAAAAAAACATGTAAAAATTTAAACTTATAAAATTTTTATGAATTTTTTTTTATTTTTTTTGTATCAGCAATATCATTTTTCAAAGCATCGGCATTGGTTTTTATATCTTTTTTACAATAATTAAGAAACCTCAAGAAATATCTTTACCAACTTTTCTATTTTTTATTTATTTATTTTTTTTTTTTCGGGTGAAGAGTGCAAGTAGCACATGATATTTTATTGAGTTATTTATATCCAATTACATGACTACAAGGTCTATTTAAGTTAACCTGCTCTCCCATCTATAGTCTTACCCAATTATACCAATTTGTCACCACGGAGGTGGGTCAATACACCAGGCGGGATCTTTTAGGAGATAGAAATCTTACTACTATCTAACCTAATCTAGATCCTGACGGTAGTCATTTAAGAGCGTGTACCTTTCATGGTTGATTAGAACATCCAGATAACCCATTCAATACTTTTTACCTAGGACCTCAGAAAAGGTACTATACTCGTTGTCACCACCTGTGGCTTCGGATTCCCCTTTTCATCAGGTCCTCTTCTTTTAAGCAAGCACCAGATTGGAATAGCCCCAGGCTAGAGTGTTCTTGTTGTGTGACGGAATCTGCCGTCGCCAGTTTGATTTTGTGGGCTTTTACCGGAGTTAGACCAGAAGCTTTTCCTTGTGCAACCTTCCGTGCTTCGACCTGTTTTCAGCTCACGATCGTCGGGAAGACCAGAGGTCCCATCTTCATGCAACCTAACTAAATTTGGATGTGATTTTTGGCTGATTGGATACAACATGAATTGGAAGCCGATCAACCAATCATAAAGGTGATAAATTTTTTGTAACCAGGTGGGTTTGAACACTAGACCTTCCCCTGGTGACCTATGGAGCATTACCACTATGCTACAGATCCATAGGTCTTTCTATTTTTTATTTCATAATTAATAAATTTAAAAATATATACAAATACTTTTAATATATTTATATTCTGGTAAGAATCGATAGTATGGTTAAAAATGGCCAGGCGAATATTCAACAAGTTGTGGATAGGATTATTTAAAAAAGATGTGTATTTTATTTGGTCATCGATTTTTTGTAATACAAGAAAATGCAAGGCAGCAATAAAAATTTCTAATAATAGATAGAAAAAACAATTTAATATATATATATAGTACCTTGTCATATGAAATATAAATAATTAACAGCTTGATATATGTCAGTGCTTGTTTGTCGATTGCATTGCTTATAACAGCTAGACTTATATAGTCAAAGCACAGGAAACATGCATATAAACATGGCAATCGACAAAAATTTTGATTACTAGTTCAGGGTTTCCCACTGGAGATAACATTGAAACATTGACAACTGTAAATAGCATTTTGACAACATAGTTTGCTTGCACTAGTCCAGGATTTCCCACTGGAGATACATAACATACATTGCTACAACATTTCTGGCTGTAAGTCGACAAAACACAGATTGTTAGTCCAGGGTTTCTCACTAAAGGCAACATCGATGTTGATCAATATCCACAAGCAAATTCTTGCAGCGAAATTAATTTGCATGCACTAGTCTAGGGTTTCTCATTGAAGATACATAGCAATTTTCGATATAGAATATAGGTAGCTAGTCAATTTTGTTTTCCCTCTTTACTTACTCTTTGCAGCAAGAGATTGTTGGTTTTTGATAGCTTTATAACTTTTGAAAATCTGTTCCATGTTTTTATATATTTTTATATAAATATTAATGATTGCATAATAAACATTGACAGTGTTTTCATATGTAATTGGTACTTACTTGCAAGTAAATATATTGGCAAAAAAAATTTAAACAATACAACTATATGTCAAAATTCAAACTAAATGAAAAAATAGATATAAAATATTGATAAAATTAATAAAACCAATAAATATTAAAAGTATCGATTTAACTTGATATATTGGTTATATATTACTTACCTCTGAATTTTGTTGACAGTAAAATGGCAAGCAGAAAAAAAATCAGCTGGCAACTAGATAGAAAATAAACAATAAAATTGATAAAATTAATAAAAATAAAAAAATTTTACAAGTATCAATGCAACTAGGTATATCAATTTCATGCTGTTTATCTCTGTATTATACATGTGGTGTAAATTATTTTGCTGTTGACTCAATTCCCAAAATCCTTAAAAATAATTGCATCATGACTCAATTATTTATATGTTTTAATAGTGACTTAATTAATTGTATCAATTGTGTCAAGGATCTATAAATTTCAGCAACATATATAGGTAAGTTATTCATATTTAGGGATCTAAGTGCTATAGGCCAGGTAGTCTTATTAATGACAAGGATTTTAATCTTATATGAGCCTGTCAAATTATATGCAAAAAAGATGATAATTCGTTCTTTGTTTTTTTTTGTTCCAGAAGTTTGAATAGTAGAAAGAGTATGGTTCAGAAGTAGACGATAAAATATACCAGTTTCATCGGCATTATACACATCATCTGGATTATACTGCGAGATAATATCTTGAAGTATTAAACGTGCCTCAGATAAGTTAGCTAATGAAGCACTATTGGATCCTTCATAAATAATATAAGATCTGATTCTATGCCTCTTTTTAAAGACTTCAAGCCACCCCTCACTTGCTTTAAAATCTTTTTCATTATCAAAGTTCATATCAAATGTTAATGCTTTGTTTTGAAGTATTGTTCCATTAAGAATTAACATATTTTCTATTGCAGCAGTTATTCAAAGATTAAATGCTTTGTTTGTTTTATAATATTTTTCAGCATGTATTTTTACTCTTTGCTCCACATCACTGAATGTGTTTTTCTTTAATCATTTTTCCTTGTTCACTAAAATCTTGGTTATTGTAGAATGGTTGTTTTCAATTTTGAAAATAGTAGCCAATTCTTTATGCTTAATATTAAAATGCTTATTATGGTATTGACAGATTTTTTTCTTCAATTCAATAGTAATCAGGTATTTGATTTCTTTAGACATTGTAATGGTATAATGGCAAGTCAGTCGCTAACTTTAGTAGAGATTTGCGTAAATAAATGAAAGAATAATTTTAGGCGTATTTGTATTTGATCGAGTCTTTATTAATTTCTTACTTATATGTTGCATCTCTTTCTTTACATTTTATATTTTTTTATACTTTATATTTGACTATAGTGGCTTAGATATAATAATAATTAATAATACAATGACATGGCTAAAACTAAATTACATAATTCTTTTTACAATCCTTTCCATTCTTCCTTTATTATCTAATTATCACAGTCGACTTACTATTGTCACGTCAATTGATTATATGACTAACGTCGCATCCTATTTCTTCCTCCACATTTATCTTATATGTATCATATATTAAGATTTCACTGAAAAGTTCTTTGTTTTGTTCGTGGCTCATTACCAACTTATTTCCTTTTTTTGATTCATCTTCTACTTCGATCTGGTTACTAATGACCTTGGGCACTATGGCTCTGTCATCTGTAATTGTCATTTTCTCACATGAATTTGGGCTGTCGGAAGCAACCAATATCTTGTTACAGATTAGTTCTTGATTTCTGATCATTGTATCGATCCCTTGGACAGCTTCATCAATATTTTCTATATGGTTGATTTTTCTTTATGGCTTGAGGCATATTTTCTCATCAAGACTTCCTTCCATTTTGTCATTTATTGATATATCTTCCAATTAGTTTGTCACCTTCTCTTGATAGTGCTCCTTCTTTATGTCTCGCACTAATCCATTGTTTTCTGGTTTGCTTGCCAACTCCTTTGCTTTGTCATTTCTCTTGTCCAGCATTCCAATACTTTTGATCACCTGGGCTCTGTTATAAGAGGATTTCATGACATTATTCCTTTGATCGTCTTTGACTACTTGGGCTTTATTTTCATCAGGATGTTCTTTCAGAATCTCACTTGGATGGCCAATTGTCATTTCTTCGAGGTCTTCATCCACCTTTTCTTGTTTGATAGTCATTTTGTCATTGATATGTTCTTCTATTGTCTTTCATGCATCATTATTAGATAGCGTTATTGGTTCTTATTGCACCTTTGTTAGGTTGGATCACTTTTCTCAAATTGCCACAATAGGTGTCAGTAAATAAAAGAAAAGTAGAAATCAGAAATTCGAGTAGTAAAAGAGGTTTTAATAATAAATGGTTTGTTTTTTATGATTTAAGGATCAAAAAAGTGTCAAAAAAATGTTTGCAAGAAAATATCAGAAGGGATAACTGGACATCATCCTTGTATGAATTTTACAATCACCACCAAAAATGTAATGGTATAATAGCAAGTCAGTCACTAACTCTAGTAAAGATTCGTATAACCATTACTGGATAAATAAATAAAAGGATGATTTGAGATGTGTTTGTATTTAACTGAATTTTTATTTATTTTCTTACTTCTATGTTGCATTTCTCTCTTTAAATTTTATATTTTTTTATATTTTACATTTTATATTCTTTTATACTTTATATTTGGCTATGGCAGCTTAGATATAATAATAATTAATTATATAGTAACATGGTGTTACAGTGAAATACGGCGAGTCTGTCGCTTCTGCTCGGTCTATACCATACTACGTTGGAGAATGGTTTCTCCTCAAAAGAAACGTGTATATTTGGCTCGAGTTTAACAATAACGCAGGTTGATCTGTCAATCGTGCGTCGTAACTGCCAACCTCCTATGTGATCACTCCTTTGTTTAGTGACACTTTCAAAATAGATAGCCTTTTTAGTACGCAGTGCCTATCCTCCTTGGTTTTTCTATTTTTATATCGTCATCTTATTTTTATACTTTTTATGCCTGATATAATTTAGCCAGCTTTGGACTTATTATCCAAC